CTGAGCCACCCAGGCACCCTACTCTCAGATTTTTAAGTGTAGTGTAGTAGTCTTAACCATATGCACATTGCTGTACAGAAGATCTCTAGAACTCTTCCATCTTGCCTGACTGAAACTCTATATCTACTGAACAATAACTCCTTTATTTCCCTCTCCCACCAAAAGTGATTTTTAGAAAACAAAAATAATAGTTTCGGTAAAACAAATACAAAAGCTATTTTCCCCCAAAGAGGTTTTAAAAAGTATGTTATAAGCAAAATATATTTAGGCTGAACCATGTGAAATTGTGATTTTCTGCAGTTTCATATGGTATAGTTTAATACTTTACCTGAAAATATTTGAATAATGGCTACCCACTAATTTAATCTCTGCTCTTGCTGATCAGGAGGAAATGGTGGTGTCTTTACTTTAAAATGTAGAATATGCATAGTATTCTCAGAGTAGCTGTGAAGTTCAGGTGCAATGACTCCTTCTGAATTAAACCCACGGATCCTATAGACATTTTGGTAACTCTCAGCAACCAAAATACAGAGTGATTCTATTATTTGGAAATATTGTAGTTCTGTAAATTATTACCTTTTCTTGAGAAGTTTAGAAGTTTATGTATGATTATGTTATGAATTTACATTTAATCCTGTGTAGAAACAGTAAGTTCACACTGTCTTGGGTGAAAGAGACACTAAATGAAGGAAAATAGGTTGATAACTGCTGAAGCTGCTAGGATAAGTAAAACTGAACCAACCAGAACCATGTTGTACATCTCTAGGGCACTTAACCATATCTTATTATCTCAAGGGTCAGTTAGACCATCCTGCCTGGCAATCTAGTTTTTTTAGGAAAAACACTTAAGAAACATGTAATTTTAATGATTTGAAACGGAGGTATTTCCTTTTTTTAATTTATTTTTTTAAAATTTTATTTATTTGAGAGAGAGAGAGCATGAGCCTGGTGAGGGGCCGAGGGAGAAGCAGACTCCGCAGAGCAGGGAGCCCAATGTGGGACTTGATCCCAGGACCCTGAGATTATGACCTGGGCCAAAAGACAGACGCTTTACTGACTGAGCCACCCAGGCACCCAAGAAATATTTTCTTTAAGCAAACCTGTATATACTTTAATAATAACAGCTAATCTTTTCTGAGTATTTGCTACATGCATTCTAGGTGTTAAATACATATATATATATAGTGTATATAATGTATATATTATGTATCTCCACTTAGAAAATCCTTTTTACGGTAACTTGCTGATGATCATAGTTGGAAAGTGTCTGAATTGGAATTTGAATCTAGGCATTCCAACGTCACAATCTTTGACCACTATGTATATGCCTCCCAGTAGTGTAATATCATTTACATTTAGAGTAATATTATTTACAGCCAGTGTAATATAATTAATGTACAGTTTTTGCTTATATCGCCAGTTAACCTTTAGTTACATTAAGTGAATTACTGCTGTATGTGTTCTATTGTAATCTTAATGATTCACAGTTCATTTTCAGATTGTTACACGGTATTTATATTACTAAATTACCCTTCCTTCTCCTTCTAGAAAACCACTCAAACTTGAGTGGAATAATTAAAAGTTCTGATGTTCTCTGGTGGTCCTTCCCACTGGTTTTTCTCCCCTGCAAAAACCCGGAGCGTCGGCTTCAGTCCTCCAAGCCCGCCCCCGGGCTGTGTAGGCAGCTGGGTGGAGCCTAAGGCGGAGCACTGTCCAGTCACCTCCCCAGAAAGCTGCGAGCTGAGTGTGGCACGGAAAAGAGCTTCCTGGTCTGTGTTTTCTTCTTGTGTTCTCCTGTTATGCGTTGTTTCCTCGGTCGTTACTTGCAGCTTCGCCCAGTCTTGTTAGCTTTTTCTCTGGTAACTTATTTTTCAGCTGCTTCTTCTGCTGGCGCAGTTTACTCCCACTTCCCGGCTGACTTCCTCATTTCTCCGTTTTTCTTATAAATGGGCGGGGGGACCGGTGGAAGCAGAATGCAAACTGAAAAATAATTATTGTAGGAAACTAAAGAACATTTCGTAAATAGAGGAATTTGGAAATTTTCCTTGTAAAACGTTATGTTGAGAAAACATCTTTTTCCATAACTTCCTTCTTTTAACCTTTGTGGAACATTTTTCATCTCCTAGG